TTGACAGGCTGTTCCAGCTGACTTGCAAGGAAGGGGGTGGCAGCGGCTGGGACTTACTCCCATGTCCGTCTTTGTAGTACGCCGGAACCAAAGAGTACTCCTAGGACAAGCAGCGACGAGTCTCCCTGGTTTTAATTAAAGTATTTATTATTTTGCCAGCATGCCCCACTCAGTGGGAGAGATCTGTAGAGGATCAACAGAAAATATAAAACCAATAGAGCGGGGGAGAAGGCTGGACACTGACCCGGTTCGCTGTTTTGAAATGGTTTTCGGGTGGCAGCTGCTTTGAAAGCATAGAGGCCGCGAGCGTTTATCTATCCACTACCCCTGCACGGCGTTCGCAACCATCCCATTTAACGGCGTTTCAAGGGCTGAGCTGAGGGGCTCTCAGATTGGGCAGGTCCATAGACCTCACTGAGAGGAGCGAGCTTTTTAAACTTAGCTTAGCTATATACTTCAAGCATTAGCTTGAGCTAGTTATTTACCCCCTTAAGTGTGTGAGTAGAGATGTGGTGAATTGGGAGTTTTCCTTAGTTTTGTTTTGTGTTTGTTTGTTTGCTATTTAATTTATTTATTATATTTATTCATTTTTCTTTTTGCTTTGCAGTAACAATTTATGATTTATTTGACTTAGGTGAAAAAGTTTTAAGCGACGTTATTGATAAAGGTTCCAAATAAAGTTGTGTTAAAGTCAAAAAAAAGTCTTTCTCTGTTCTCTCCCTCTACTATCTACTCTTCTCTCTCTCTCGTGTCTCTCTCTCTCTCTCTCTCTCACTTAGTATGATTTCTCGTCTCCTCTCATCTCTCTGTCTCCTCTGTATCTCGTCCTCGTCTCTCTCTCTCTCTGACCATTGTCTTCTCTCTCTCTCTCTCTCTGGTGTTCTCTCTCTCTCCCTCTGTCTCTCTGTTGCTCTCATCGGTTCTCTCCACTGTCACTCTCTCTCTCTTGTCTCTGCTAGCTGTACTTCTCTCGTCTTCGTCTACTCTCTCATCTACTCTGCTGTGTTCTCTCCTCTTCTTCTGTCCTACCTCTTCTCTTGGGTGTCTCTCTTACTCTCTCTCTGCTCTCTCTCTCTGCTCTCTCTGCTGTCTCTTTCTCTCTCTGTTCTCTCTGTCTTACTCTCTGTGGTCTCTCTCTCTCCTCTCTCTAACTCTACTCTCTGTGTCTCTCCTCCTTCTCTCTCTCGTCGTAGGTGTCTCTTCTCTCATCTCTGATTGTTACCTCCTCTCTCTCTACTGTCTCTCATGTGTCTCTCGCTCTCTCTGGTCTCTATCTCTCTCTTCTCTCTTGTGATCAGTCTCTCATACATCTGTTCTATTCTCTCTCTCTCTACCTCTTCTAATCTCTCTAATACGTCTGTGTCACTCATACTCTCTTCTGCCCTTCCGTTCTCTCCTCCTCTCTGTGGTCCTCTCTCTCTCTCTGCTGTCTCTCTCTCGGCTCTCTCTCTCTCTCTACCTTCTCTGTGTCGCTCTCTGTCCTCTCTCTCTCTCTCTGTTACTTGCTGTCCTCTCTCTCTCTCTCTGTCTCTCTGTCTCTCTCTCCCTCTCTCGACTGTTCTCTCTCTCTCGTCTCTCCTGATGTTCTCTCTCTCTCTGTCTTCTCTTCTGTGCTCTCTCTCTCTCTCTGGTCTCTCTCTCTCTCTCTCTGGTGTCAACTGATGACCGCTCTCTCTCTCTGCTTTCGTCTCTGTCTCTCATCTCATCTCTGTGTGGTCTCCCTCTCTCTTCTTACCTCTCTCCTCTCTCATGCTGTACTCTCTTCTCTCTCTCTCTCTCTAGATGTCTCTCTCTCCTCGGTCTCTCTCTCCTCTCTGTCTCTCTGTGTCTCTCTCTCTCTGTCTCTACTCTCTCTCTCTCTCTCGTCCTGATTGTCTACTCTCTGTTTCTCTCTCTTCTCTCTCTTCTCTCTCTTGGTGGTCTCTCTCTCCTCCTCCCTCGCCGTCTCGTCTCTCTCTTGTGTGCTTCTCTCTCGGTCTCTGTGGGTCTCTCTCTCTGTCTCTCTTCATACTCTCATCTTCTCTCTGTGAGTGTCTCTCTCTTGGTAATCCATTCTCTCTCTCTCTCTCTTCCTCTTGCTGTCTCTCTCTCTTCTCTCCTCTGTCTCTCTGTCTCTACTACTCTCTTCTCGATGTGCAGCACTGTATTTGTCTCTCTCCTCTCTCATCTCTGTAGTTACTCTCTCTCTCTGTTCTACTCTCTCGGTGTCATCTTGGGTCTGACGTTCTCTCTCTCTTCTCTACTGTGCTCTCTCTCTCTCTCTCCTGTGTACGCTCTCGCTCCTCTTGTCTCTTCAACGCTGTGCCTCTCTCTCTCTTGGTGTCTCCTCTCTCTCTTCCTCTCACTCCTCTCTATACCATTCGTCCCTCAACTCGTTGCTGCTCTCTCTCCTCTCTCTCTCCTCTGTGTCTCTCTCTCTCTCTGATGGATGTACTACTCATCCTCTCTCTTTGTGCTCCTCTCCATGAGTGTCTAACTCTCCTCTGCCGTGTGTCTCTCTCTCTTCTCTCTCTTTACTCTGTAGTCTCTTCTCTCTCTGTCTCTCTCTCTCTCTCTCTCTCATGTGTCTCTCTCTAGTCTCTCTCTCTCTCTCTCCTCTGCTGTCTCTCTCTCTCTCTCTCGGTCTCTCTGTCTCTCTCTCCTCTCTGTGTCTCTCTCTCTCTACCTCTCGTGTCTCTCAGTCTCTCTCCCTCTCTCTCTGTCTCTCTTCTCATTCCTCAGTTGAAGGGATCGAGCTAAGTGAGGAGCGGTCGCGCAAGAAGAATATGCCAGGTCACGGTTTTCATGGCAGAAACATATCTTCAGACACCTTTCCATCAGTAAGACTTCCGTGGAGTCAGAGGAGGGTTGCCATCAGCTTGAAGGCGCGTCAGTGAGACATGGCGAGAGACACTGCGGAGACCACTCGCTCAAGAGGCGCTGAGGGGGTGAGGAGGCGCAAGGAGATGGAGGAAGTCTGTGACTTGTCTGTCTCTGATCTGCTCTGGCTCTTTACTTTGTCTGCTTCTTTCCTCTCGATATGCTGTTTCTGTCGCTCAACCTGATCTGTCGCCCTTCACCTGTCTGTCTCTCACATGTCTGTCTCTGAACCTGGTCTGTCTTACTTATGGTAAGACAGCTCGTGGACCTGTCCTAGGTATCTGAGCCTAGTCTGTGTCTCTCAGCAGGGATCTCGAGACAGCATTCATATGTTGTTCTTCCCATGACGTTCCAACGTTTTGTCTCCGACTCAGTTTGGCAGACGCCGCAGTCTTGGGACTCCGGGAACTTCTGAAAGACGATCTGCTCAGGGAGAGCTGGGGACAAAGATGAGGATTCGGGAAGACTTCGTCCCCTACACACACGAGTAATGACATCACACTGACATCACAGGTTTAAATATTTTTTTACACTCCATTGACTTACCGTTGTACTCATTCGACATGTCTAGTCTCTCCACCTGCCTTCTCTCTCGTCTACCTTGTCTCTGCACTGTCTCGTCCGGCTTACTCCCACCTGTCTCTCATGTCTCATACATCTGCTCTCTGTACCTTATCTCTCCACCTGTCTTTGTCTCTGTACCTCTCTCTCTCTCTCTTCCTCATCTCTCTCTCCACCTGTCTTCGCCTCTCGACCTGTACTCGTCTGACCAATTGGTACTGAGATCTCATCCACCTCTACTCTGCTCTCTACCACCTGTTTGTCTGATTCTCTACAGTGAGTTACTTTCATGGAGGGTCGTGACCCTCTCAAGGAACCACCTGATCTAACAGCTGGAACCAAGGTCGCTTCCGAGGACACACACCAATGGATATGCTCGTTAAGAAGAGGGCCTGGTGGGAGCAAGAGGTGAAGACGGGATGAGGTAGGCAGCGGGGCGGGGCTTACACTGAATCACATGGTTCGCTACTGCTGGCCGTGTGTTAAAAAACTGTTTCCACCT